TAAAAAAGGCTTTGAGCGAGTGAAGCCCGAGGCTTTTGATAGAGATCATCCCTCTTTGAACAGATTAACAAATAAAGTACCGTACCAAATAAAAGAATCCACATCACATGAGAACTTTCCACAACTGCAACAACTAAAATGGATATCACATGCAACTCAAAGAGAAAATAATAACATAATCAAGATGTTAATGTTCTACATAACTTCAAATAAAAGTTTAAGAAGGAAACCCTCATCAAAACTGAAAAGAGCGATAACAGCTTCTGGACTTGAGAAACCTGTTTTTCTGAAAAACTTTTTCAAGAGAAAGATTTTACAATTCTAACTGAAAGCAGTACTGGCTGCCAAATGTTTCCTTGCAGGAAAACGGTTAATATTACATTTACCGAGACGATTTAAATAGAAACTGTACAAACAGAATTATTTTTCTTATTAAAGGATCTAATTGAAATGTTCTTTTTCTTGTAGAAACTTGATCGTCTCAAAAGCAAAAATGGTACAGCAATAAATAAAGGGAAAATGACGCTTTGAGAAAAAAAAAAAACAAAACAAAAAAACAAACTATAAAAGGTGTTAGGCTATTTTCGATGAAAAATGATTACCTTGTTTGATATATATATATATATATATATATATATGTGTGTGTGTGTGTGTGTGTGTGTGTGTGTTAGTTATAATTCAGGCTTATATTTTTAAATTTTTGTCTATATTTCTGAGATGATGTATTACGTACATTATTTACATTATCCGGACTATTGTCTTCATCTGTGTCGCCATATTTATTACAACGTTTCGGCCGTTGTACGCTTCGGCCTTCTTCAGGTGGTTGGAATGTCGAACTTAACTCTTTATTTCGCTCACTGGGCTACACTGTTCTTGTTCCACGTGCCATGTTTAATAGATGTCAGTTATCAGCTATCTCCTCAAGGACACATGACACAGTGTATAAAGCCGTTGGTTAGATCCAGTAACAGGACCCAACGAGTGTGAGTTCAATACCCGGTTAAGGCAGTGGAGAACTTTCAGAGGGAAATAAACAGATAACCTAAAAAATTCTAATAATAATATCAATATCGTCATTTTGGCCTAAGCAATCGACAAATATATTTGTATTTAATATCAGTGACTTATGAGACAACATTAATCATCACTCTACGGTCGTTGCTATAATCTCCATAAACGTTATGTTTCCTTTGTTCCATTCTTTCTTCTTTTATGTGTTTTATCTCTTCAAGTTGTTAGCTATCATGACTCTGCGCATCTTACACTGTCTTTTGATACTCTAAGTAGCTTCTGACTCATTACCGTTCCTCTTTCTTCCTGTTTTACCATCCATTCGCATCAGCTTGTTTCATAGATTATTCACTGTTCCTTCCCGTTTCTTCTTCCTTCTGTATGCAATGTGAGTATTAAATTCTCTGGATATTCTTTCGTCACTGTGTCCAAGAAATTTGGAATGTCTCTGTTTGTAATTATGTTTTCTTATTGTCTTTATTTATGGCTCTAAATAATTTCTAGCATTTTACAACTTTTCTTTGTTCCTGTTTTGCTATCGATTCGCATAAACTGGTCGGATAGCTTATACACTATTTCCTCCTGTTTATCCTTCCTTCAATATGTACGAAGAGTTTTAAGTTCTCGAGAACGTTTTCGTCATTATGTGTCAAATAATGTTCGAATGTCTCTGATTATAAATATAAGTTTCCTTATTGTGCTCATTTCCCTGTCTTTTATTGTCCTAAATAACCTTTGACTCTTTACCCAACATCTTTGTCCCTATTTTGTCATCGATTCGCATAAACTGCTTAGATAGGTTACTCTCTGTTTGTCTTGCTTATCCCCCCCTTCAATCTATCCGGTGAGTGTTAAAGTCTCGAGAACGCTTTCGCCATTATGCGTCTAAGAATGTTTAACTGTCTCTGATTATAAATATGTTTCCTTATTGTCAAGATTTATTGTATATAAAATACAATTGAGGCACAAGGCCTAAAAGTGGGAATGGCTTGAGGCTGGTCGTCAATTACTATCTTATACCTAACTAATTAGATTCGCGACTCAGCCGCTCGTTACAATTTACACAACCATCATCATTCAATCCTCCATATACCATAATACCGTATACACTCAAGGAACTTACAAAACCATGGCATAAAAATTTAATTAGCATAAAAAATCTATATATAAAATCGTACATGATACGTAATGAAGGGGAAAGAGTATAAACCCTCAAAACAAAACAAAAATATCAACTATGTTTCTTTAATGTCTTTATTTTCTCATTGCTCCCAAGTTCATTTTATATTATTGTCAGTAACCGTCACTAGAATCACATTTGTCTTTTCAAATTTCCTATTCTGTTTATCATTCATAATATGTATAAGAGATCAGATATTAAACAAACAGTTCCGGACAATTTCCTGACTCTTGAAACTTTACTTAGTTTCTCGAAGGCCTCTTCCGCTTTTCCAATGCGTCTTTTGATTTCTGTACTATATTTCTCGTCGTTTGGTAACCTTTTGAACCCTGGCCACCGCTTTACCGTTGGCAGAGAAAAATGAAGTAATGCCCAGCCACCGGTTGAACAGTAGTAGAGAAAAATGAATTAATGCCCAGACACCGGTTGAACAGTAGTAGAGAAAAATGAATTAATGCCCAGACACCGGTTGAACAGTAGTAGAGAAAAATGAATTAATGCCCAGCCACTGGTTGAACGGTGGGTAAACACTTGTAACTATTTTTGTATCTACGGTGTATATTACATAGCAATTATTTGTGAATTTTGCCTCAGGTGCTCAGGTAGAATGATTAAAATTGTTCAGGAAAGCAGGGATCAAAGTGTTAATACAGGTAACAGACTTACCGGTATTTATTATGCCCGGATTCTTTTGTATCCACATTGGTAAACCCAAACCGAGAAGGAGAGAAGTTCCAATTATGAAGAGGTTCCTGGAAGAATCCAGAGAGACATTCCTGAGATTGGAAATTCCAATAGAAGCCACCATTCCTTTTACAAAAATGAAAAAAAATAAAAATTATAAATTTAAAGAACCGGTAAAGTCTTTACTGAGGATTAAAGTAGCAATCATGAGAGGAAATAAATGCGCATACGTGCCATAATAGCCTCGCTGCAATGGAAATTTCTTTTGAACAAGATAAAATGTTGATAAAAAACTTACTAAATAACAATTGAAAATTAAAATTGAAAAAAGAACCCATAACAATTCAAATAACATTAGAAATTAATATATCAGGTCATCCCATAAGTTCTGTCCGAATTTTGAATAAAGAAAACAAGTGACCAAATGTTACATTTAATTACAGATTCAATCAACAATGTATTTTCCTTAATTATCTATGACTTCCTACCATCTATTAAAAAGCTTACAAATTCCATTACTGTAAAATTCTTTTGGCTTTGATTCGAAGAACTCACAAATGTCAGTTTTAACCTCTTCCTGTGTTACAAAAGCTGTTTCTTCCAAATGATTCTGTAAGTTACGAAACAAATGGTAGTCTGAGGGAGCAAGATCGGGAGAGTAAGATGGATGAGGAATTTTCTCCCAACCAAGTTCTTCGATCTTTTGTGACGTGATTCTTGCTGTGTGGGGTCGCGCATTGTCCTGATGAAACATCACCTCTTTTCGATTCACTAGAGCAGATATTTTTTCCTCGAAGCTTGGTTCAAACGCTCTAATTGCTGACTTTATATTTGAACATTAATTGTTGCATTAGGTGGTAAGAATTCAAAGTGGATTATTCCTTGGCGATCCCACTAGATTGAAAGAAGAACCTTTTGCCCATGAAATTTCCTTCTCGGCTGTGGCTGGGGTCCTTCCCCTTTACCAAGCCACTGTCTACGACGCTTAACATTTCGATAAAAGATCCATTTTTCGTCGCCAGTCACAAGTCTATCCAAAAAAGGTGAAACAAGTTGCCGAGAATGGAGAGAAGAGCAGATGTCAACTCGGGATTTGAGGTTGTTTTCAGACAATTCATGAGGCACCCATTTTCCAAGTTTAGGAACTTTTCCAACTTGTTGAAGATGACGATGAACAGTTGTATGGTTTGAACTGAGAACCACTACCAATTCTTCAACTGATAAAGCAGGATTTTCTTCAAGGGCTGCTTCAAGAAGCTTTTCCTCAAACTCAACTGGACGTCCGGTTCGATGTTCATCTTCAAGGGTGAAATCTCCACCTCTGAATTTTGCAAACCATCTTCTGCAAGTTCTTTCATTCACACATTCCTCTCCATAAACTGAGTGAATGTTTCTAGCCGCTTTGGCTGCTGAGTTTCCTTTCTTGAACTCATAAAGCATTATGTGCCTCAAATGATTCTTGTGTACTTCCATGTTAGCAGGGTTTTAATCAAACAAAATTTAAATTTATTGTTCTCTGAAATAAAATTTGATTAGTTTAAATGCATCTAAACATAAAAATAATGTTCAGCTCCATTAGACATTATAAAATACTCTTTAAATTTCGTTCCTTTTTAACAAAAAGTTTAAATTCGGACAGAACTTATGTGATGACCTGATATTTTGGAAGTTTATCGTATGCTTTGATATATAGATATTTACTAAGTATAGCCATCCATCCTAACAGGAAAAGTTAATTATTGGCATCTTAGTCTAGCAATAATAGATGAAGAATAGGAATTTAGTAAGCTATTCTATTTCGATATCTTTTATTTTGTATCTCGTGGGTATGCATAGCAAGCGTATAGTTAACGAGCTGAGAGTGTTTTTAGTTTTGTATTTATGTGAAGTACTTCATACGGAAGTTTATTCTTTTTACCAGAATTAAAGAATCACAAGTCGGTTTATTGTTTATGATTCACCTGGTGGTTTTATTATAAATTTCATATCCTTTAAAAGAAAAGGTTTCTGGAATGATTTAGTAATTTCTCTCGTAAATTTAGAAAATGATCTCTATACTTCCATTATATATGATTATTTCCTCGGCAATTTATTTAGTGATTTATTTTTTATGGATAGGGGATTATTCTTTGTTTCTATCTTGTCCTGAGAGAGAGAGAGAGAGAGAGAGAGAGAGAGAGAGAGAGAGAGAAAGAGAGAGAGAAAGAGAGAAAGAGAGAGAGAAAGAGAGAGAGAGATTATTTTCTTTTTCATTTTGTCGAGATTAATTTATTCAAGCACATTGCATAATGTTCAAAACTTTTGTTTTTTATTCCCTCGTGCGTCATTCCTTATCCAGACCCTTGTGGAATCAGCGAAATATTGATATTATAACGACTGGTATGATGTGGATTGGTGACCCTCCGATGGCTGTGGTAGGCTCGCGTGTCTCAGTTATTTTAAGAGAGAAGCGGTATTGAGTTCCAAATCTTAAAGGGCCACCCATGGCAGCAAAGTCGAATAGTAGGGACCAGACAATGGGATTATTCCCGCTTATCAAAACGGCAAATATCTATATGCTTTCAATTGCCAAACCAGCGGAAGAGGGCAGCACCAGTCGGGCTGGGTAACATAAGCGGACCTTGACAGACCAAGTATCCAGCAGTCCAATGCAAGCAGATTTGCTAGATCTAGCCTGTCTCAGCCCCCTTTGAGTCGCGAGGGAAGTACTTCTGGCCAAGAGTGTTGGCTTCTCTGTCGTGCAAAGTTGTCAAAATCAAATTCACGCGAAAACTCTCTTTGACTTCGCTTTCGTTCACCATACAGCAAGTCAAGCGACGATGGTCCCGCGGACAAAAGAGTAGGTGAGGCCCTTAGTCCGCACAGAGACTTTGGTGGTGGGTTCGTGATGGCCATCTCGCTTGTGACTTGAGATGACGCGAGGATATGGCGATTGGAGTCGTGACTGTGTTGGTCTATTCAAAATTCTCACTACTAACAGCAGTCATCAGGTAACCCATTCTTGCGGCCAAAACTTAAGATCTCATACTGATAAAACCCCTGTTGCTTTTAACCCTTTGAATGTTGGAGCATAGAATGTACGAACGTCAATGGGCATCAAGGACATGGAACGCCCAGAGAGAAGAACAGTGCTTGTGTGTCGCGAGCTGGTCCGTTTCGGCATCGACATGAGTGCTTTGAGTGAAACCAAACTAGTCGAAGATCAGAGAAATCGGATCCACCTACACGATCTTTTGGAAAGGGATGGAGACAAGCGAACAATATATCCACGGGGTTGGCTTTGCCATGAAAAAAATCTCGTGGAGAAGCAAAACCTCATCCAGATTGTTATCAGCGATGGCTTGATGACTTTCCGGCTCAGCCATGATAGTTTCCTGACTTCATTTCCGTCTATGCATCTAAGCTAGCCTCTGACGACGCCACCAGTGAGTTTTTCTATGACCTTTTCGACTCAATCCGAAAGACACCGTGGATCGTGGTTCTTGGTGAGTTCAACGCTCAAGTTGGTCGTGATCACTGTACATGGAGGGGCATTTTCGGTCGACATGATATCAGAAACTGCAATGCAAACAGGATCTGCTCTTCGGTCTCTGTGCAAAAACATGGCTTGACTATGACCAACATCCTGTTCAAATCATGCGTTCCATGCCTGGAGCAGATGATTGCTGGACAAGCCACCGTCTGCTGGTCTCGCGTCTCAAGATCTCTGTTTGCTGACCTTTTAGGCGTCCTCCTACAGGCAGGCCTCACCGACGATTTTACTGTGTGAAGCTCCAGGATTCCAAATATTGGAGTTCTTTCGACTATTCGTTGAAAAACGAAACTCCGAAGAATACTTCGCATCAATTGGGAGAATCGAATCACCATCATCTAGCCCGCCTTCTGGTCGTCTCTCCCCAGCATCGAGGTTACCATCCTTCAGCATCACTTCCGCTGGGCCTGCCATGTGTCCAGAATGCATCTCTCTTGATTCCCTCGTGTCGTTCTCTTTGTAGAGCTCACCATCAGCAAGGGGCTACGCAGAGGCCCATAAAAGACGCTTCAATATTGAAGACAACCCTGACACAAGCTAAAATCGACTCTGAAACCTGGGAATCTGTTGGATCATGGAAATCGTCAATATCCAAATACTCTGCCTAACCTTTTTAATTTTTATTCTTCCCTTTTAACTAAATACTAGTATTCAAACCCATTAACAAACTGAGTGCATTCGTTTTGGCTGTCAAGATTTTATATTTCAATTAAGCACAACATACTATGTTTGACAGTGTGTTTCATAAGGCTACCTTAAAGGTAATCTTTATTAAAAGATATCTATATAAATAAAATAAAATAAAATAGCGTCAACACAGAGAGTGAAATCCTTCTGTGCTCATCTTCATCCTGGGTATGACAATAAACTACATCCGCGTCCAGCGTAAGACGATAAACTACGTCCAACAGCAAGGCCTCTGATCAGGAGTTTTTGAGGAGCGTAAAACCACCTCTTAATTGCTAGTGTTCCCAGGTTCACCCGTCCCCGGGGTGGTTGCACCTGTTAGGGTCCTAGCTATGGGTAAATAGCTAACCGCCAAACTGAGGGTCAAAACACTGTGAAAGTGTAAAAATAGGTTTTAATACCAGAAATACTTTGTAAGAAATTATTAACAGCAATACTTTTTTGAACATAAATATTACCAGTATTACAGTTTTAAAAAAATATTATCAGCGATATATTTTTGAAGACAAAAATATTACCAGCAATACATTTTTTGAAAAAAAAAATTACCAGCAATAAAAATTTTGTCAGCATTAAATAACTTATTGAGTTTGATATGCCGTAAAACAAACAAAACCAAACCAAACTGTTGTTCATCTCCGACAAAATCTTAGCCACTAGTTTGTAGTCACAAGACTTTATGTCAAAAAATGTTATTTACCAAACACAACAAAAAATATTCCACCAATCACAGGCTGAGGAACTGTGACAAATAGAGCTCCAAATTTACCAAAGCATCCGAGTAACATCATCAGAAAAGCACCAACTTGGATTACTCTTCGGCTAGCAATCTGGCGATATACAAATTAGAAATATTAAAAAAACACCATAAATTCCATAGCATAAATTTTGCTCATACAATAATTACAGAATATTGATGATTACAAAAAATGATTTCGCATAAAGATATTAAGTTTTGTCACATACTTTGGTTATTAAAATGGCACCGATATTTTGACTGAAAGAAGTATTGCCACTGGCAGCTCCCCAGACACCGGCCAAAAAACAAGTAATACCTTCCATTCCAATTCCTGTAAAATTAAAAATCATATCGTCATTTGAGCGGATTTAAATAAGAATAGTCATTTGTGTTGTGATAATTGTGTGTAGTGGGAGGTTTTATCAGCTTTGTAAAATTAGCATTCGATAACTGGCTTTTATCTGCATCTGAACACAGGCCATTGCAATAGATAAAAAATACGCAGTTACTTCAGCCATCAAATTTTGATTTCTAAAAAAAAAATTCTTAAAATTCTCAGCTGTCTCGCACCGTCTGGCAGCGTGATTGAGATTGGTATCTCTAGGATGAGAAAAGGTTGGATGATTAAAATAAACCATTCTTTTATAAATACTTGTCCGGTGAAAGACTAACAAATTGTAGTTGTCATAGTCGTTTTTTAATATTTCCGTGTTGTTTTCATTTTTTCTAAAATATCAGGTCATCCCATAAGTTCTGTCCTAATTTTGAATACAGAAAACAAGTGACCAAATGTTACATTTAATTACAGATTCAATCAACAATGTATTTTCCTGATTATCTATGACTTCCTTCCATCTATTAACAAGATTACTAATTCCATTATTGTAAAATTATTTTGGCTTTGATTCGAAAAACTCACAAATGTCAGTTTTAACCTCTTCCTGTGTTACAAAAGCTGTTTCTTCCAAATGATTCTGTAAGCTACGAAACAAATGGTAGTCTGAGGGAGCAAGATCGGGAGAGTAAGGTGGATGAGGAATTTTCTCCCAACCAAGTTCTTCGATCTTTTGTGACGTGATTCTTGCTGTGTGGGGTCGCGCATTGTCCTGATGAAAAATCGCCCCTTTTCGATTCACTAGAGCAGATATTTTTCCCTCGAAGCTTGGTTCAAACGCTCTAATTGTTGACAGTATATTTGAGCATTAATTGTTAAATTAGGTGGTAAGAATTCAAAGTAGATTATTTCTTGGCGATCCCACTAGATTGAAAGTAGAACCTTTTGCCCATGAAGTTCCGTTCTCGGCTGTGGCTGGGGTCCTTCCCCTTTACCAAGCCTCTGTCTACGACGCTTAACATTTCGAAAAAAGATCCGTTTTTCATCGCCAGGCACAAGTCTATCCAAAAAAAGGTGAAACAAGTTGGCGAGAATGGAGAGAAGAGCAGATGTCAACTCGGGATTTGAGGTTGTTTTCAGATAATTCGTGAGGCACCCATTTTCCAAGTTTAGGAACTTTTCTAAGTTGTTGAAGATGACGATGAACAGTTGTATGGTTTTAACTGAGAACCATTGCCAATTCCTCAACTGATAAAGCAGGATTTTCTTCAAGGGCTGCTTTAAGAAGCTTTTCATCAAACTCAACTGGACGTCCTGTTCGGTCTTCATCTTCAAGGGTGAAATCTCCACCTCTGAATTTTGCAAACCATCTTCTGCAAGTTCTTTCATTCACACATTCCTTTCCATAAACTGAGTGAATGTTTCTAGCCGCTTTGGCTGCTGAGTTTCCTTTCTTGAACTCATAAAGCATTATGTGCCTCAAATGATTCTTGGGTACTTCCATGTTAGCAGGGTTTTAATGAAACAAAATTTAATTTTATTGTTCTCTGAAGTAAAATTCGATCAGTTTAAATGCATCTAAACATAAAAATAATGTTCAGCTCCATTAGACATTATAAAATACTTTTTAAATTTCGTTCATTTTAAAAAAAGGTAAAATTCGGACAGAACTTATTGGATGACCTGATATAAAAATGATACTATGCCGAAAATACTGCTTATTTTCTTTCGTATTTAATATTAGAATGAATGAGCAAAAATGTCCATTTGGAAAATTTATCAAGCAATCATTTTGAGTAATATTAGATAAAACAAAATGTTACTAATATCAACCAGAAACAAAGATAATTTTGTGGTTAACTCAGTATGTATGTGTAACAATATTCATATATGCGTACTGATGTGTTGGGAATAGAAGTTGAAGTTGGCAAGAAAGATCTAATCAAATTCTATTCCCACCACAAAATAAGAATAAAATCTGGACTAATAATATGATTCTACATCAGGGTCCTTATGATATGTAGCCCGGAATACCTAAATGAAGAAGAGAAATATATTGAGAAAATTTTCAAATTTCTCCACTACCAATATCATTTTATCATCAACGCTAAAAAGCAAGCTTACAAAATCCACAAAGCCAAAAAAACAGACACCACTAATAACACTTCTAACAAAAATTACATAAAATTCATATGCCTGTCCCCAAACACACTTTCTACTAAACTCGCAAAGAAATTAGTCAATGCTAACGATTGGATCGTTACCATCACCTCCAAGACAACTAAAGATATAATTATGAAGAAAAATAAACCCCAATTCAAATACCTGGATTTATCAAATAAATTGATTACAATGCAAACAATGTTTATGTGGGAGAGACATCATGTGATCTGAAAGCCCGTATCTACGAACACAAGCGAGACATGCGTTTGGACAAACGATCTAACTTTCTCGTTTAGCATCTAAACGATGCTGGACATAACTTTGATTTTACTAATGTCACCCTACTTAAAAAAAAGAACATAATTCATTACGGACAAAGTACATTGAAAACAAAATAATAACATTATTACCAGCTATAAACACAAGCCTAAAATATTACATTAAATCGACATCTTTCTTTGAATCCAATCTTAAAGAATCTAACTTACATCTATCTAATACAAAGAATACATTCTTAAAGAATAAATTGGAACCTTGTGACGCCTCGGTGACGAATTGACCGCATAAAGGTGAAGATAGAACTTCCATTAGACAGACACACATGCACAATTACAAATACATGTTACCATCCGATGCCCACCTAGACATACAAGAATCTTCACAAACCTACATATACATAGAATTATCTATGATTTTAAGACATGTAACACGAGTATGACCAACGAGAACTGACAAATGAGAACTGACAAATGAGAACTGACCAACGAGAACTGACAAATGAGAACTGACATAATTGAAACTACCAATGTTTTTGTCTTTTTGTCTGCTTTCTCTCAGTTTCTGACGAAGCTTTAATAAAAGTGAAGCATGTTAGATTGATATACGCTTCCCATTTGTTATTTTACCATATATATATATATACTGTGTAGACATAGAAATGCATCTTCATTCCATGTGTAACTACGTCCTGGGTAAGACGATAAACTACGTCCAACATCAAGACCTCTGATTAGAAGATTTTGAGGAGCGCGGAACCACCTCTTAATTGCTGGCGTTCCCAGGTTCATCCTGACCCGGGGTGGTAGCACCTGTTAGGGTCCCAACTATGGGCAAATAGTTAACCCTCAAATTGGGGTCAAAACATTATGAAAGTGTAAAAATAGGTCTTAATACCAGAAATACTTTGTAAAAGAAAAAAATTATTACTATCAATACATTATCAGCAATACATTTTAGGCAAAAATATTTTACCAGCAATCATTTTTTTGAAAAAAATATTATCAGAAATAGATTTGACAAAAAATATTACCAGCAATAAAAATTTTGTCGGCATTAAATAACCCATTGAGGTTGATATGCCGTAAAATAAACCAAACCAAACTAAATTCTATTCTATTGACCGATGGAGCAGACTACTGAAGAAAACAGGCGCAGTCACAGAAAGGTGAAAAGGGTCGCAATTTTGTGCATGATATTTGAAGCTATGTCTGTTTTTGTCAAGCTGTTCTGAGCATCCATATGAGCTTTAACTGCCTACACATAAGTGATTTTTTCAGATTTATCCCACTCAGTTTGTACTAAAGAATGTAGAAATAAGTTCTGATTATGTGAAATCTCCGATCTGTGAAATCTCCGAATATCACAATAAAAAGAATCAAGAATTTTTTTTCACCCTAGCGAAAGAGAGTGCGCAAATCACTTTCAGAACTAAAGAGTCAGTGTAGATCACAGAATGCACAAGTTAAATTCATATTTTTATTTATTTTATTAACTATTTCTTATTTTGTAGAATAATATTTTTATCTTGTTGGTAACTTATATATGTCAGAATTAGTCACACTTAACGAAATGACAGCCACCACACACGCACAGATATATCTATATCTATCTATATAAATATTTATATACACACACAAGGCAATAAAGTATATAAAAATACACATTATAATAAAAACCTTTGTTGCTTTTCTCTCTTTAATATATATATATATATATATATATATATATATATATATATATATATATGTGTGTGTGTGTGTGTGTGTGTGTGTGTGTATGAAGAAATATACTCTTAAGGTATGCTATATTTAAGGGATTTAAGTCAACATTTAGAGGCGACAGGCTGTTTCATGCTATACGCAATCGTCAGGCTGCGAGTGTTGTTTTTCTCGGCTATTTATATATATGGATCAGTGGTGCATTGTGGGTAGACTATTTTGGCGGTTATTTTGCCGGAAGTCGTTTATTTGCTTATTTATTTATTTGGGTTAAATTATTTTGCTTGTTTTTATTTATTTTTATTTTTATTTCTTATCTTATATATTTATTTATTTTTATTTTAATCGGTGTTTTATTAACGTAGTAAAAAATTGTTTATATCGCTTATTTAATAGTATTGTTTTGGTTTTGGAAGATAATTAAAGCTATTTATTCAATTTTGGGGCTGATTGCTGTAGTTTATTCTAACTATTATTTTGGTGGGATCAGTTTTTATTTTTTATTACTTCATTTATTTATTTGGATTGATTATCTTTACTTGTTTTTTTCTAACGGTTAATTTATCGGGATCGGTTTGTTATATTTTTTATTTATTAATTTGGATTAATTTAGATTAATTTGTTTTTTTATTATTTATTTATTATACTGTATATTTTATTTACTCTTTTCAGTTTTCAGGTTTAATTTGTTCGTATGGTTTGTTGATAGTTTTCCTGTTGTGCTTTTTTATTATTTGTGCGATGTTCTCGGTGTAAATGTAGTTGATTTTTACTGTGTTTTTGTTGAATATTTTTTGTAGGGTGCTTGATTCCGGGAAGTGTTTGTGTAAGAGCTTGAAGAATATTTTTCCTACATTTGTTTTTAAGTTTTTGCTGTACGGTGGGTTGAACGATATGATATTTCTTTTCCTGTTTGCCTTTTTTATGTTCTGTGGTGAGTATGTGAGTATTGCTGGGAATCCGCTATCTTTTTGGGCTGTTTCGTAGTCTTTCTTACCTTTGTTAAATATGGATTAATTGAAGGAATTGTCGGAAAGCCTGCGGTTAATCGATTTTGGTATCTGTTTGATTATAGATGGCGGGTGATTGGAAGATGTGTGTATATAGAGTGGTTTATCATTGGGTTTTCTGTATGGTTTATATGTGCCTTTTCTTAGGTTGAAGGTAACATTTAGAAAATCTACTTCGTTTAGGTTAGTTTTTATATCTATGTCGAATCCGTTATTTTTGAAAATCTTTATTGCTTTTCTAGTTTTGTCTGCATTTTGTTTGTTACAATTTCTTAAGATAATGAGACCGTCGTCCCTGTAGAGTCCTGTGTCATTTCTATCTATTATTTTGCTTAGTTCGTGTAGTAAGTATATACCTATGATTTCGCAAGTCTGCACCGTCAAAGCTTCCCACTCTAGTGTCAAAGATCCCATCTTTCTTTATCCATGCTTCTTCATTGTGAAATAGTAATAACTTACCGGAGTGTTTAATGATGTCGATTTTGTTTGGTTTCATTATTATTTGTTCCTGAGCTAAGTTGATGGCCTTATCTAGCATGGGTTCTGTTATAGATGGGTAAAATTCTTTTATGTCGAATTGTAGGAATTGGCAATTTTGTTTGTTATTTATTCTGTGGAACCAGTCAATAGTTGCTTTTGTGTTTTTCCACTGGTTTACTCTTAACTTCTTCCTAAATTCAGAATTAATTCTTTCTAGTATCGTTTTACTTATCTTACCTAGTTCGCTTTTGACTGGGTTTATGAGTCTGCATGCAGGGTTGCTTTTGAATTTTTTTTGTCTTTTAGTGTGATAAAGGCTTGCGTCTTGCTGATGCAACTGATTCGGTCATCTAGGTCTAATTAAGACTAATTAGGCTTCCTTATTGATATCAATATCAATGAGGAAACTTGAAAAATAAAAAAATAAAAGATTATATTTTTACATCCATTTTTCTCTTTCTTCGTGGTCGTTGGGGTGGAAGGCTAGTGGAATGACCTTAGCAGATGTACATTTATAACAATTCATCGTGGTACCAAGTCACTTCCAAAGAAGAAGAAAAAAAATTAAAATAATTTTATTTTAAATGTAAACTCTTATCTTTTTTTCGAGCTAACAGTGAAAGAAGAAAAAATAACCATCATTCTTATTCGAGGAGTTAAAACCAATTATTTAAATAATGCCAACATCCCCCATAATTGAGATAGTAAGCCCGATGAAAAATAGCATAGAATGAATAAAGCCCCAAACCTAATAAAATCAAAAGATTTTATCGTCAAAATGTTTGTTATTATTAAGAGGAAATATCAAAGTTTTTTATTATTTTATTAAATTTTTAATCCTTTCTAGCATGTTAGAAATTTTGGCTAAAAATCTTGTTTTTTTTATGTCAGTGGTCGACGTAATATTTACGAATAGTGTTTTAACGCCTTTTTTTAAAAAAAAAAAAAAAAAAAAAAAAAGCATTGATTTGGAAATTCTTGCAAAAATCAAATAATCATCGGATTTTAATGAAACTTTCCGGACTTATTTACAAATAAATGATATTATTTTTTAATTTTATTTAGAAAATCTTGGTAAAAAATATTTTTTTTTTTACATATGTTACCTCCACTTACTTAATTTCATGAAATTTCCAGAAATTAAATTTCAATCTCAAAATTTGTTTTTTTTAGTTAAAAGTAGGACTCCTTGGAGAATTTAAATCATCAGTTTTTTTTTGTAAAACAAGAAACCCCCATTTACCGAAAATCTACTATGAATCCTAAAATAAAACTATCACATTATTTAATGAGAAAAACTTTTCATTGCTTTGAAACATTTATTAAGGGCACCTATTATCTTAAGAAAAAATGTTTTCGATGAATAATGAAAATTTACAAGAATTGCTTTAAATTTTAAAAATTTTAATGATAATAATTTATAATATTATAAATCGTTTAAAATTCTGCATTACTTCAATCCAGTTAGGTGATATTGTTATTAAGTGAAAACTATATTTACGAGTCAAAAATTGAAAAGCTCAATAAAAGTCGTTTACACCCAATATTTAAAAAAAATTTAAAACTATTTTTATGCATATAAAATATTTCATAACATGCCCCCTGTTTAAAATTATGGTCGACCTTACATTACAAAATCAGAAAATAAGTGCAATGACTATAGTAAATTTAAATTCAACATTCCTAAAATTAGATTACGGAGAATATTTTCCAACATTTTTAAAATTGCTGAGTATTTAAAAATTATATAAAAAGGCGCCCACTCGTTATCTTCTTAAATTATGTCTCAAGAGATAAAGTCTCCGTAGAACAACAGTATAAGTGTTGACAGATTTTATCATTACTTGTTAAGTGATCTGCGAGTGACAAGCGACGGGGATAAGTGCGTAATCACCGTTACTGTTTGTTTTAAAAATCTATTTCTCTGTTATTTACACTTAAGGTAAATATTTTTTTCAAATGAGATTAATTATACTTTAAATCAGCTAATGTTCCCCAAATAAAGTTTCAGAAAAGTATATTTTAATTTTGGAAGATTTTTAAAATGAGAATTAACTTTTGTTTACAAATGTGTCAAAAATGGTCGATATTTATCGATTTTCTGAAAGCGAATAAAAAGTTGAGATTCCAATCAATATAATTTCTATCTGAAATACACCAGAATTTTTAGCTTAATGGAAATAGTAAATTTAATCCTTTAGTTTCCAATTAAAGTTAAAATGAAAGCTTCAAGAATTTTTAAAAATTCATTTTAACCTTAGGTAACGAAATTGAGTGGGGGTACTTATAATATACGCTACTAAATATTGTATATGGCAGTCGATAGATAAAATAATTAATTGTACTCCGGATATTCTTAAAAAAATGTCTACTGGCGAAATTTAACGGTATTCCAACAAGTTATTCTGTTTTGACACTTCGTACACATCGTCCAACATTTTTTGAACACCATTTCATGATTTAGATAGATGGAAAAAGTTGACTTAAAAATTATGGATTTCGAAGCGAGTGATTTCCCCATGCTAAATGACTCGCGTTGGAACTCGCTCTATAAACATAGAAAAAGCCAAAATAAGGAACCGTTAGACCAAAAAGCGACTTTCATTTAAAAAAAAAGGTAAGCGAAAATGTCGCTGGTTAGAAACAGAGACATTGTATGATAAGCAACAGATTTTGTAAGAATTAAATAATAAAATTAAAAAAATGTTTCAGTGTAATACATTTCTTTAGCGAAGATACTAAGCAATTGTAAATTTAGATGTCTATTGAGCCAGTTTAAAATCAGTTTGGTCTCTAGTCATGTGTTAATTATATGATCGTTAATTGTACCTCGACTGATGGCATGAACAGGTGGGGGAGGTGCTCCAGATATTCTTGCGCATGCGTAGTAATCTCCAACTGATTCAATAATGGAAGCGAAGAGAGCTGTAAACATGCCAAAAACACCAGCTGTACTGACGCTTGGCATTCCCCACTGACCTGAAAGAACAAATAATAAATATAAACAAACGGGATTAACTATTATTTGTACAGGTTCCTGGAAGAATAATGTACAAATTTGTGACACACACATTTATATGTATATCTTATACACATACACATATATGTAGATATCAGTACACATATTCATATAAATATTTATACACAGCTGTATACAGAAAATACACACACACCAAACACTATATATATATTCAAATATGTTTCATTGAATAATAGAGATATATTATGTGTATTTATTTATATAATATTTCTTCATAGTTTACTAATCAGTTTCTAGATGTTAAGATGAAATTCATCTAGGAAGGGGCCATAATTTTCATGAAGCATTGACGAGTAATGACGGGGAAACACACGTGTTATATTTAGCGAAATAAGATAAGGAATTTATTGACAAATTTACACATCTGAAGTTGTCAGTAGCTTTTTTTCAGGAAAAGGAATAAAATATTTGAAGGTCGTAGTTTCGATGAATTGTCAAGAAGAGAAAATGTTCATATTAAATCATCGGACACAAAGTAATATTCTAAAATGTTTAAAACAAATTGAGAGAGTTCGTTTTTCTCATTAAAGTTATACGGTTGTATTTAACATGAATGAAAAGATATAGTTACTTAGCTTTGGAGTTGAATAGAGTTCTTTGAAATTGACCTGTTCTCATTAGAGGCTGATAATGTATCAGCGTGTAATTTGACACCGATGTCATTCAAACGCGTGGAACTCTGGCTTTCTGCCTCCTGATTCTTTCTGCTTTTTCTCTCTCTGCCTTGATTCAACTTTCTTTACCTATTTATATCAAAAAGCGATTTCACATGGGCTCGTTATTTTTTCTCAGTTTCTAAGCCGCGCCCTCTACCATTTGAAAACAGTGGGGAAATGAGTGTTATTTTTATTCAGTATTTACCACAGAGATCATACTCAGGGGTGAATTACAAAGATATAGTTATTGTAACTGTGATCGTTGCGATGGTGGTTTTTAAAAATATGCGTGAACGCACTCTGTTATAATTATTTTATTATTTGAAATTTATCTGTTGTAGCTATGGAATTTGTTGGCAAAACAAGTGCCCCAGTATAATGGAGGTAACCAGAAATTGGTAGAAATAAAAAAAATGGCATTAAATATTAGATAAATACATTTCATTACGTGGCTGCTACACCCGAAATATTTTTTTACGTGTTAACTGGTTGTTTTTGACATGGAAGGCCTCGAGTATTTGAAGTTTTTGTTTATTATTTTCGTGGTGTAGTATATTGGTTTTCTCAACCACTATTTTCCTGTATTGTGTATGTAGATATACTGGATATATATATATATATATATATATATATATATATATATATATATATATATATCCATATATATACATATACATATTTTTTACACACACGCACGCACACACACACACACACACACACACACACAGGTACTCTATCAGTCTGCGCCTCGGATGAGTACACACATCATCATTGGCGCGGATGAGCTGAAGGAGACCCATCGATTTACCTACCTTGGATATACTATCACGGCAGATGCTGGGATCGACAATGAGATCAAAAACAGACTGACATGGGCGAGCATTGCTTTTGGCAGACAATACAAACATATGTGGCACAACAGACAACTGAAGAAGGTAACAAAGACTAGAGTGCATAGAGCTATTGTCCTCACCAATACGGCCATACGGCTCAGAGTCGTGAGTCACTTATTAGCATTAGCTACGACTCCTCGAACGGCCCCACCAGCACTGCCTCCGCACAATCTTTCACATCCACTGAAGTGTCAACGATATTGAAGTCCTTGAAAGGCGAAGATCACCAGCATTGCGGCTATGCTGCTGAAGTCCCAGCCAGGCTGGGCTGGGCATGTTTCTAGGATGGAGAATCATCGCCTGCCTAAAAATTTTATTGTACGGCGAGCTCTCCACTAGCTATCGCGGCACCAAAGAAAGCGAATTCAAAGATCATCTGAAAAAATCCTTTGGTGCTAATGGCCCACTCTAGCTGAGTACCGTGACACCTGGCTACTCATTACCAACCATGCTGTGCCTTCCTTTGAAAATAACTATAGTGCTGCTCTCGAGAACAAGAGGCAGAGAAGAAAATACTGCAACGCTATGCCATCGATCCCAGGCCGAACTTGCAGCTGCAAATGCTGCGACCATGTATGTCTGTTCCGCATTGGCTTTATCAGTCTCAGACATGCCTGCAATCGATGTGAACTATTATTAGTCAAACATTGAGTGTGTGAGGGACATTTCACATTATTTCAGCAGTTACAATTTTTATATCTTTTTCTTCTTTTGCTTCATTGTAGTTGTTATTTTTGTAAATTATATATTCTAGACCACAAAAGTCTCCTAAGCCGACCAAGCATAGAAATGAATATAATATGGGAAACAATAATGCGGAGTTCTAGAGAAAAGCATTAATAAAAACAAAATGAAAATGGAGACATTAGTTTACCCAGAATTCATACACTCAAGTATATATGGCCCAGGGCATAAAAGACCCAAAGATTTGTTTCTTAATCTTGATCTGCTCATACTGCAATTTTGTTGTTGTTAATGCTTTGAAAAATTGACCATCCTAAAAAATATAAATAACACTAATTTACTTCAGGTGTCTGTTGTACCACACACGTGTTAGGTGTGAATAAATTACAATATATACGCAAGATATATACGCACATTGGATATATTGGGAGTTGTATATACATATGTATATGTGTGTATATATCGCTTAAAAATTTTCAGCCGATAAATATATTTCTAAAGATCTGGGAAAACTTAGAGGATTCAAATAATGTTATCTTATTCGCCTTAGCCGAAGCGCGTATTCGAATTATATGAAGAGGTAGAAAGAAATTTCCGTGGGACGTCAATCCGTATAAGAAATTTGTTGATATTTTGATTCAGGAAGCAAGAAAGCAATTAAAAAGAAACAAAAAAACTCGTGAATATCCTGAACGTTGATATAGGATTCAATTTTTATTTCTCTCAACTAAAATATAAAGGCATACCTGGATATGGAAAACGAAACCAAGCTGATTTATCAAGTACATCCCTGTAAAGATCCGTTCGGGCCGCGTGGCCCCATTTGCTTTTCTCTTTGGGGAAAACATCTGTGATGGTTAGAATGTGACATAGTAGCCAGGATATTAAAATAGCGAATAATATCTGCAAAGAAAATAAGAATTTCTCATTGATTTTGGACTAAGATTAAAAGATATAAAATTTTAAAAATGCTTTGGGTCAGGGTTAGGGTTAACCTGCCATGTATCGAATATTTTGACGGTCCTACTGTTTGTTCAGCGTATTAGATGGAAATCACTAAAATCATAAAAAAAAGGATTCCTAAAAAGGATCCTCATCTCCAGCGATATAAATATTCACAAATATGTAACAGGTGATTCTGACTGGTGTTCCTCACACCATAACATTAATCAAACAAAGGAATATAAATTGGTTCGACGAGAGTTGAACATTTATAATTCACTCTGTAGGCATTTATTTGGTAGGTAACAAGTTTTTGTTGAAAGACTTCCTCCTCTGCAGAAGATGAGGTCCTCTTATTGAGGGTCCAGGGGAAAAGGCAATGTTGTACTTGAATATAATAATTCATTTTTAAATAAGTTCCAAAGTCTTGTATCGGGTATATTCGGCTTTTCTCTTTTGGTTTTGTTACAGGTTTTTTCATTCGGGTTTACCAGTGAAGTGAAATACTTTGATTGTTGTCCATTACGTCGGGGATAGTCATTGAGGCAAAAAGTTTTGAGACAGACTCCTTTTTGGATTAAAAAAATGTTTATTGGATATTTTACATTTTATAAGACAAGATAAAGAGTTTCAATATTCATATTAATAATAATAATAATAATAATAATAATAGTCGGTTTTCTGTCCAAAAGTTCATAGCAAAATTTCATTGTTTTTTTTATAGATATTTATATATCTGCAAATTAGTGCATGCAAAAAGTATTTAAACAATCCCAAAGGAAAAAAGGACTCTTCTTATTCTATCTGCTGAATCTGGGGATGAAAAAGTCAATTATTTGCATGTCTACTCGAAATTAATATGGCTAAAGGCCGTTCTCAAAGTTAGAACGCAGTGGCTCTGACCTTCTCCCTTTAAGTACAATAAATTTCTTTTACATTGTGCAATTAATATTTCATTGTAGAGCATTAGAAAGTCGAAATGTAAACAATGAGACTTCGTGAAAGAGTACAACAATAATAATTGCCAAAACTGTATTTGAAAACTTACATTTGAAATAAAAATATTTGAAATATATTTAAATACTCACATTTAAAGACATAATAATAAAATCAGTCATTTCGATACATGACTGACGAGACAGATTTTTCCCGCAGTAGGTTGCCATTTCTTTCTGCGGAAGACCAGTTGCCGTCCAAGACTATAGAACCCGGCCTGTCCTGCTATTTACCCATATCTTAGAAGAAGAGGATTCATACCTTTCCCAAGGGTATTAGCACGTAAGTGAATGTAATGAAAGGAAAAAAAATGACCAGCATTATTTGCTATTTTACTTTTATAAAGGTCAACAGATGAAAAAAAGAAAAAATATTTATTAGAGAAAAGTGAAAATCTCAAACGTTACTTACAGGAAACATTTTAAATAAAGCAATGGGTATCTTTGAACATCCCCCGTCTTTCTTGTAAAGGAAACAGGGTACATCAATATTTTTCATATATTGTGAAAATATACAGATCAATGCGGTAGTCCTGTTAAAAAAATGGAAGAAAGAAAGAAAGAAATAAGGAACAAATCTGTTTTTATTTTATGCGCGTCGCTTTGTTTTTAAGGTTGAACCAAAGTCATTTGCAGAATTTCCTGTGAATATCGCTTCCACTCCAGTCATATTTGCTTTTTTCAGGGCCACTTTAGCACATTTAGGGATGTACTGTTTTATTTCTATCTTGGTTTGAGTTATATCTGATGAAGCTCTCTATAAATATTTTTAAAATTATTTCCTTGTCTATTAGAATTTCAATAAAATGGAAAGTACTGCATAAGATGAAGGGAAACCATCTCTCATCAGTGGCGCTTATAAGAATGTAGACTTTGTATAAAATGAGACAAATCTGTAGAGAAGAGAATAAATGAATACAGGAAAGTGACTGAAAGGTGTATTTACCACTTAGATTTTTATGTTTTTAGATTATTTCAAATGTCTCCTGCAGTTGATGTGGGAAGCATTCTTACAATTGTGAAAGTACCTCCGAAGTTTTGTCAAGTCAAACTATAATTATAATGCTGACACTTGTGTAGGGTGCTGGAAAGTCCTCTCCTCGACAAAGAGGTAATTTGATTTGGTTTGGTTTTTGTTTTACGGCATATCAACCTCAATGGGTTATTTAATGCCAACAACATTTTTATTGCTGGTAATATATTTTTCTTCAAAAATCTATTTCCGGGAATATTTTTCCTTGAAGAAATCTATAGCTGGTCATATTTTTTTCAAAGAATGTATAACTGTTTGTATTGCTGGTATTTTTTTAAAGTATTGCTGATAATAATTTTTCCTTCAAAAATTATTGCGCGTAATAATTTTTGTTATTACAATGTATTTCTGGTATTAAAACCTATTTTTACACAAGTTTGAGTGTTAACTATTTGACCATAGCTGGGGCCCTAACAGGTGCTAACACCCCGGGTCAGGATGGACCTGGGAACACCAGCAATTAAGAGGTGGTTCCACGCTCCTCAAAACCTACTGATCAGAAGCCTTGCTATTGAATGTAGTTTATCGTCATACCCAGGACGACAAAGAAGAGGCGAGATATCAGTGTCGTATATGAATACTGATTTGTAACTTACAGCAAAGCAATGTACCATTGTCCAGCAGAATAATCGGTGGCGACTTCAAACAGCGAAAGTCCAATCAAAGTGATTGTAGGCATAATGGTAAGAGGACCAACAAAAGATAAAAACACTTCCATTAACCCACTGAAGCCGATGAAGATCTGGATCAGGCTGCCGACCATCAGGCAACCTTGGATCTGGAAACAAGACAGAAAATACAATACAAACATTTAAACAATAACTTAGATTTGTATCAAATGAATTGGCACACATGTGCTAATGATAGTAACACGTATTTACAAGAATATAACCTAGGGAAAAATATCTATCGCAGGAAAACCTCTACTGTCTCAGTTGTTGTCAACAGCGAAGGCGAAGGTCACTTGTTAAGCAATAAAAATTATTTTTAAAACACCATAATTCTTTAACTGTCTATAAATTTTCAACATTTAAAAGATAGTGGTAGATAAGAAATTTTAATGCCCAGTTTTGTCTGTTGTTAATGAAAGATTTTTTTCAGTATGTATTTTGTCGCTTGAAGAAAATAATACAAAACAGCAAAATCTTTGTCTATCAGATAATTTTACGAATAAATGATGAAAGTAATTGCAAAACAAATATGCTTTTATATATTCAATACCTTATGAAAAGGAAGCGTTTTTTCATTATTTTGTTTTTATTTACATTATCATCAGAAGGTTATAAATGAAGAATCGATATTTTCTGCTTTGGTATACGTGTCAAAGTAACAGGAAAATCTATATACTCTATTTCCTGTCAGGTAAGATTAGGGACCTTCTCTAAATTTCCGGTAAGCAAAATACTCTGTATTTGAAATAGAAATTATATCGATTGGAATCTCAAGTTTTTGGTCGCTTTCAGAAAATCTATAAAAATCGATGAATATCGTCATTTTGACACATTTGTTAACAAATTTAATTCTCGGTTTTAAGAATATTACAAAAATGAAATATATATTAGTGACACGTTATTTGAAGAAAATTAGCAACTTTAAAGTTAAATTAATCTGATATGAAACAAATATTACTTATAGCATAACACGTAGTATGCAATCATTTCTTAACCACGGAGTCTTGTTTTACTGACGAGCTGAGTGATTTAATGGCAGTCTAAGGTGTTTACAACTAAGTATGGTTGACCAGAAATTGACATAAATTTACGAAATCTAAGTGAATGCTTTTTTTCCTGGTTTTTAACTACCTAGCAATTTTTAAAAAATTAACAATATTTTCAGTAATTATCTAATATTTCATTGAATTTTATTAATTTTAGCTTTATAGCATTACGTTTTTATCAAAATAACACTTACATAATGGAATAAACTACTAAAAACGTTTTTATGAAATAGGAATTAAAGTAAAAATAATTTAAAAGGAAATTTCAAAATGACACGCAAATTAAAACATAAGAACTTCAAATAGAAATTGAATAAGAAAAATTTAATTTAAGTTAAAGTAAAAATTACATTTTTAGTAGAATTGTATTGGGTTTGGTCTCCAGGTTCTTTCTTTAGTGATACTAAAAATATGATTAATATAAGTATGACCCAGAGTCAAATAAATACATAAAATAAAAATATTTAAATTTTAAAGTTAAAAATTTTGAAGAGATGATTTGCCTGTTGAGACGTAAACACGATGAAACACAGAAATTAAAAATGAAAAAATTGCAGACGGTCAAATTTTCCAGGGAGGAAAACTCTTAAAATACGTGATGGACTCTCATATTTACGAAAATGGGAATGTTTCTCCACTAAAACTTTTTTTAAATTATTTAAAAAATTTTAGTGCAAACCAACTTTTATTAAGTTTTTCAATTTTTGATTCGGAAATATAGTTTTCACTTAATGACAAAATCAGCTAACCGGATTTAAGTAATGCCGAATTTTAAACGATTTATAATATTACAAATTATTATAATTAAAATTTAAAAAATTAAAACAATTCTTTCAAAAATTCATTATTCATCGAAAACATTTTTTTCTTAAGACAATAGTGTTCTTAATAAATCTTTAAAAACAATTAAAAGCTTTTCTAATGTCATAAGTTTACTGCATATTTTATTTTAGAATTCAGAGAATTTCAAGAAATGTGTAGTAGCTTGAAAAAAAAAAAAAAAAAAGACCAAGGAGTCCTGATAAAGCTGATAAAAACAATTTTAAGATTGAAATTCAATTTCTCGAAATTTCATGAAATTAAGTAAGTGGGTGGGGGTAGCGTTTGTAAAAAAATAATATTTTTTTACCAAGATTTTCTAAAAAAATTTAAAAAAAAATTTAATTTATTTATGAATAAGTCCAGAAAGTTTCATAAAAATATGACAGTTATTTGATTTTTGCTAGAATTTCTAATCAATTTGTTTTTCGCCTGAAAAGGCGCTAAAACAGTAATCGTAAATATTACGTCGACCGCTGACAAAAAAAAAACAAAACAAAACAAAAACAAAAAAAACAAACAAGATTTTTAACCACAATTTCGAACGTGATAGAAAGGATTGAAAAAATTAATAAAATAATAAAAAATACTTTGGTTTTCCTCTTAATGATAACAAACATTTTGATAACAAAACTTAAGTTTGGGGTCTTTTTTCATTATGCTATATACTGTTTTTTCAGCGACTAAGTGGAGGTGCCTATATAAGATGCACCGATAACGTGGTAAAATATTTATAAAAAATGAGTAATATTCAAATGAGTACTCGGTAACACTTAGATGTTTTTCTTTTAATATCTTAGTTGGATTTGTAATCAAGATTTAATAACCATATATTTCATTGTGAAGTCATCAGGAAATCAGTCAGGTTCATGTAACAAACAGCCATGTTTCACTGATTAAGTTTTAGATTAACCATTGAAGAGGCATGTGACTTGTGGAGTTTTCTTTTTCTTCAGTGTGACGGATATACGGTATGTAATGGCAAAAATCCTAATTTAGATGCTAGGGTGACAAAGTCTAGTCACTCAATTCATAGATAAAGAATGGGAGAATGTGATGTAAAATAAATGGTCGCATTATGCTTTTAGGCCGTAAACATTAACCGTTAGTATAAATGTTTCATGTGATTTCTTTTAGAAAGACCCGCATTTTTTCTTAACAGAAACCTCCAGGCTTTCTAAGTAATTTCCGTGAATTGTTGAAACGTTAAATTCGAGTCTTTTGTCCACTGTCTTCATTCATGAATTGAAAAACAAAAGTGTCTGAAATAATACTCTCTCTACTCCTTTCACGAAAAATTGACAACTTACTGAAATCTGATTCACCGATAGACATATTTCTTTTTTTGCCAATGTATGTAAATAAACGATTTTGTTAAGTTTAAACCAGTCTTCTCGCCATTTTAACTTGTTCCAGATAATACGTCTTAGAATTTGAGACACCCACATAATTTATAATCGCCAATTTTATATTCGGTGCTGATAGACAAGGATACGCTTTTGAATATACATTACCAATTATCCGCTTATATCGGAAACTGATAGCCATATTGTGTTTATACTTGAAGAGTCTAAATATAGTTATATATTGTTAAAAAATGTACGAAAAGGAGTTTTATTTGTATTTCTGGTAAAAAATTACTTACCTCTCGGAGACGAAGTTGCCATATTTCACGGTGACCATCGCTGCCAACATCTGGTAGAGTGTTATTCACAGAAAGATCTGAAACATATCAAGTATATCAAAAACAGCCTGGTCTCATCAGACATGGATAGGTAAATATAAATTACGAGAATAATGGACAAGAAATCCTAAATTATTTTATTTCGCAGCAGTTTAATAGAACTTCAATTGTTTGAACAGCACAGAAAATGAAATAACGATTCTCTTACGATCAATAAAGTTAAGCAACGTCGGGCCTGGTGACCGCTTGGGAATACCCGGTGCTGTAAGCTTGGATAATGGAAATGGGAGAGCCGAGTTCATATTCAAGTAGGGTTCGTTATATTCACTTACGCGCAAATACTCTTGGGAAATGGTATGGATCCACATCGTTTCTTCGCAGCTATGGATTAATTCGTAGAACTTGTATTAGTAAATCATTACAACCTAAAATAAATCTTAGAATCTAAAAATATGTTCTGGCTTGAAATAACCTGCAAATGGTTGAGAAACCATAAAAAATCAATCAATTAATTAGTTCACTTTGAATTACAGGTGAATATTATAAATCGGTCTGGTTGTCCAAAATTTGTAGGCTATTGCATGTTGAGTTCTTTGGTACAACAGACGTGGTCTTTCTGACACTATGATTGGTTGGTCGATATTTCTGTAGTCATCACCAGTGTCTATGTCATTTCAAAGGTCTAGTTATTCTTCTACTATTAATTTGTTTTGATTTCTTGATATGAAGCCCATTCTTTCCGTTTCGATTTTCAAATGTCTACCATTAATTGGCTGGTTACTCTGAATCGCAAAACTTGGTTGAACTGATGTCATACCTTGAAATGAACTGATTGATCGATCAATTTCTTCTCTTTCTAAGTTGAAAATGGCATCCATCTTGACCATTCCAGGATATGTGGGTATTGGAGTAAATCATAGAAATATACTGCAAATGTCCACTTCTTAGTTGCAAAAGAAAGCCATACTCTTCATCCACGATTATAATTTCAGTTTCATCTGTGACAGATTCATTGTATCTCCTTTCATGTTCTGTAGTTGTACGTTTGTCTCCTGTTGGGTTTGGTTTGTTTTGTTTTACGGCATATCAACCGCAATCCGAAAATATAGTGGTGTACTTACATGTATGTCCCACTTTTTATCGTGATGTGCTACATATATTTATATTTATTTATTGTATTAATTTATAATTTTTCGTTCTTTTGACATGCTTTTATTTTAATAATCTATTCTGTATATATCATATTTTACTTCAAATATTACTGTAAGATGATAAGTATTTTCAGAAAAAGCACATTTTACTACAGCAAAAACCTTAAGCTTTTACGATATGAAAGACCTTTCAATTTCGCTTTTAATGATCATTATCGTAAAGGGTTAAAGTGTCACTGCATGTACTACAGCAAGTGCAACTGTGGTGTAGACATAGCAAGATAGTAATATAGCACATACACACAGATGAATACTATTTATTATAAATATATTACATATTCTTTACCACTACGTGAAGCATATGAGACAGACGTTTTAATTTATTTACAAATCTTACCAAACTTTTTAACAGGAAAAAAACGCTAAACGACGTCTTCTCAGTCAAAATCAAACGGAATGATTAAATTTTTCTATTGTTCTTTCAAAGACGTATTAAAAACGAAACTTGATATCTTTTGGTTGCAACACTTGCTTATTTAGTTTGCGTACAACTGTTAAAAATTGATTTAAATTCTGTTGAATTAGTTCATGGGAGAGTTGTTGATAAAAATACAGAAAATTACTTGGATACTCAATTGTTTCTTGACAAACTATTTCAAGGTGTCAAAGACAACAACTAACACCAATCTGAAACACCAAACATACAATATCTATATTCCTATATTAACATTGAATTTATATGTTAAAAGATAACGCTAATGAAATATCCATCACAAGCGAATCACAGAAGTCCATATAAATTAATTGAAAAACATACTGTTTTCCTTATAAAAAACATGAATGCGTCATTATCCTCGTCGAAAGATGAAAAACTGAACGTTGAGACAAAAATAACAGATGACTCATCAGGTCACTCGTGGAAATAATTCTTGAGGCAGAGTTACCAAGAGCGGAAGGTGAGAAATATAGCCCCCAAAATCGAAAACTCTGCACAGCCATAGAATTCTATTCTTTAGATTATTTAAAATCACGCGATAAGGAAGTGAGATGATGTAGGAAATTGTTAAAACTAACTTTAAGATTTTTCTTTCGGATAACATAGCTACAATCTTTCAAAAGAATTTAACATCCTGTTTTATTATACTTATTTATATCTATTTCCGGTATATTGGGAGGCTGTAAAAAAAAAAAAACATTGTTTTTCCAAAAGGAAGTTTCGGCCCTTTTCATACACGCGAAGAAAAGAAAACATAAATTGATACTTACATCTTGCATAAGGACATTGCAATTTTTTGCAACAAAAATATGACAGTGTAGTTATACCATCTAATTTAAGATCATATTTTATTATTGTTGTACTCTTAAAGAGTTTACAAACACACAAAGGTGGTAATCGAATGAGGGAAAAGCAACACGCTCGTAGATGAAAGAAAGAGAGGTTTATTGTAAAAGAGAATACACTACTGAAAGACAGGGAATTGGATGTAATTCCTGAAGCAAGGATATCTACCAATCGCCCCACGCGGTCAGATGTGGCACAAGGCCGAATTTAACGTGGGCTATCCGAGTTCGTAGGCTCGACCAAAAAATTCTCCGTATAAAACGGGGTCGGGTAGCTGTTTTCCGAGAAGAAATCTAACCTTCAACATAGCCTCGTCTGGGGATCCTCTTTGCCCGGAGGCAGAGAGTTTGACCAGCACAGCTGGAGACTATTGTCCAACTAATTCCCGAAGCAAGGATATTTATCTTACCTCCTCGTGAGGCAATATGTGGCACAAGGCCGTTTTTTTAATGCGGGGCAAAACCGAGCCCGTAGGTTCGAGCTAAAAGTCCGTGTAGATCCCGTATACACGTGGTCGAGTAGCTGTCTACCACCCCAGACGAGACTGTGCCCTTCGGCATAGCCTCGTTTGGGTTCCTCTCTGCCCGAAGACAGAGAGTTTGACCAGCTTAGCTGGAGACAAATCTCCAACTAATTACCGAAGGAACCCCCAGGTATATCCTGTGCTTACTATATATAGCCACTGATATAGTCAGTCCACATAGGCGATAGAGAGTGTGGGACATTCCATTTCACAAATTATAGTTATCTGATTATTTTTTTTAAATCAATTAATCCCAAGCACATAAGTAGCTACTGGGAGTGAAAGAGAAGAGGGTACTTTAGAAGGAACAGGAAATCCAGTCCTAATCGAGAAACAAGGGATAAACCTCTAGTCTTGTTCAAGAGACTGAAGAGGAGTTTGAACAAGACGATAAGCAAACCTATCTACTCCAAGTAAAAAAGAATAAATGCCCTTTTCACACACGCGAAGAGAATATAAATTGATACTTACCTCTTGTATAAGGGCATTGCAATTTTTGCAATGAAAACAACGTTATAGTTGGTGCGATAAAAGAAACACTTGCACCTTGCACGATTGGAAGGCTAGAAAAAATAAATAAAAATCTTACGTTAAATTGCCGTGTATAATCGACGTTTAACATTGATAAGAAAATAACCCCTGTGAATTTTCTTTCAGTTCAATATAAAATGTGAGCTTTTTGCGCAGAAGGGAATTAAAATTTCCTAAAAAAATCATTGTAACTTTTTCTATTTTTTTCAGAAACCAATATTTTTCCAAGTGAGTCATTAGAAAAGAACAGCAGTAGAAATAAATAAATGCAATTATGCTGATCTGTTTCTTTACCGTATAACAACAGTTTATGAAAATGTCGAATTGGAGGCCGGACATTACGACGATGTACTATGTAATCCATTACTGTAGGTACGTCCATTAGGTCACGTAAAAAATCGGCATATCACGATTAAAAAAGACTCATAAATCAACAAAAACAAAGTTTTGTTTAAATTATGTTTATGTTGTTATGAAGATGAAAGACCAAAGTATTTTTAAAATATTTTTTGAAATTTTTTACTGCTTTCTAGCACGTAGAAAATTGTGGTTAAAAATTATGTTTTTTTTTACGACAGCGCGAAAAAACTAAAAAAAGGTTTGTTTTATTTTGCGCTTTTCCCCTTAAAGCACACGTTAAATTAGGAAATTCTTGCAAAAAATCAAATAATTGTTGGATTTTAATGAAACTTTCAGGACTTATTCAGAAATCAATGAAATTATTTTTGAAATTCTTTTTTTTTTTTTTTTGAAAATCGTGTTAAAAAGTTTTTTTTAACATATTTCCACCCACTTACATATTTTCATGAAATTTCGAGAAATTATATCTGAGTGCGCGGGATTTTTTTATTAGTTATAAAGAGGACACTTTGTAGAAAGTAAATCACCATTTTTTTTTGTTAAACATTTGCTAAATTTATAGAAAATCTGCTTTGAATTGTAAAAAAAAATGTAAAAAGTATGACATTAATTAATTAGAAAAGCTTCCACCTGTTTTTGTAGATACGTTATACTAAGGACATTATTTTGTGAAGAAATAAAACTTTTTCGATGATTAATGTATTTTTTGCAATTTTTTTTCCCCATTTTTAAAATTTTTTTCATTAACGTCTTAATACTTCAAAAATTGTTTAAAATTCTTTATTGCTTTGGTGCACGTAATGCAATGATAACGTTAATGAAAATGTAAATTTACGAATCGAACTTTGAAAAACACATAAAAGTCGTTTGAACTGAAATATTTTAAAATAATTTAAAAAAAATTTTTATTGAAAAAACGTTCATAATTTCTATGTATGGAATGTATACGCGACATAATCCTTAAAAAGTTTAAAGAATTATGTAAATAATAAAAAAAAAAATTTAAAGAATTATCTAAATAATAAAAAAATGTTTAAAAAATTTATCTAAATAATAAAAAAAAAAAAGTTTAAAAAATTATCTAAATAAAAAAAAAAAAGTTTAAAGAATTATCTAATTTTATTGCCATTATTATAAAAAAAGGTTTTGTCCCTTTAATAAAACTAAAAAAGCGTTCCTCAGATTTCTAATAATTTTCATTTATGGTCATCCGTAGTAGCTGTCATCACTCGTCAATCAACACGTAGGTCAAATATTGGATAAAAATACCAGTACCAATCGTTAATAATTGGTTTTCTACTACTTTTTTATGCTAGAAGTAAGTAATATTTCTTTTAAATCAGATTAATTTAACATTAAATTTTCTAATTTTACTAAAATAACGTGTCAGAAACTTTGTTAAATATTTTTAAAATCGATAAATTTGTGTTTGTTTACAAATTACTTAGAAAATTAAGAAAATGGCGGAATTTAAGAAAATTTAAAATTCCAAAATTAAATTTGACATTCCAATGTATATAGTTTCTATCTGAAATACACCAGAATTGTTTCCTTAATGGAAATAATAAATTTAATGATTAAACTTTCAATTAAAGCTAAAATGAAATCTTCAAGCATGTTTTATTGTTTTTTCATTTTTAAAAATTTATTTTAAAGTTAGGTATCGGAGATTTTGCCGAAAAAAGTGGAGGTCCCTACATTACTGGGTAATATTTTATTGCCAATGTTTCTTTTGGTTTGATAGAGATTGCTAATATGATTATCAAGGTAATAACTCGTATCGCGTAAGTTTTCCATTTCCTCGTAATTATCTACTCCTGAAATGTGCATCAGTAAGCCATGAAAATAAGAGTAAATTTGTATATTTGTATTGCTGTTTGCACAAAGAAAATACATAATTCACAATTCATTTCTTTTGAGCTGTAAAAAAAAAAAAAAAAAAAAAAATGAAATTTATTTGCTAGGAACTTTATAACTTTTCCTTTCAACTTAAAACAATGATTATTTTTATACTCAGTAATAAAACTATTTAAATTTGTAGAGCTGTGTATGAAAATTATTTATTTTCTTCGTTTTTTTCACGCATATTTCTCACATATATGATGTCTGGCCGCTAGTATCCAGTATGTCTGTCTATTAGCGATGATCCTGCCAACAACCAACTGCAACAAATTTCCATTTTAGATCATTATATATATATATATATATATATATATATATATATATATATATATAATAATAATTTAATCATACTAGAGGCTCCTTTAAGACAGTCCTAAAGTATGAAAATAAATAAATAAATTTTAAAAAATGACAAAATTAACCCTTTGTTCGATACATACACTTCTGTATTTCAATGTATGTTTTTACAAGGAAGCGAGAATGACATGTTTAATACACGACAGACAATTCTAGTCGAGTATGAATTACATACCCACTCCTAACCTGTAACATACTTTTTCACTTTTCCCCTTTAGCTTTGATCTATATTTAGATTCGTCAAATAAAACAAGACCCATAATAAAATTTTAAAATCTCATTTCCACTCTCACTTAAACTCTTTAATACTACTTCACTTGCAAAAGTAAATAATTTTTTCTGAAGTTATTCAAGATCGCTTGAAAATGGAACAATAAATTTTAACTTTCAGTTCCGAAACGTAGAAATTTCTGTGTCGCGGTGATAAAATATTTTTAAATAATAATATTATAATATTATGCTCGACTTTGTATCGAGCACTTTTAAAAAAAAAAATGCTAAAGAACTGAGGATTGTTAATTTGACTGTTCTTTCTCTTTATATATATATATATATATATATATATACATACATTAGATAGAGAATAATAAAAATTGTGGTGGTTTCACTTAATTTATAACGTCAGTATTAATTTATTCTTCGGGATGGCCGGTCTGGTGGGTTCTAGAGAGTCTGCATCTGAGTTTTGACTCGCTATTACGCGCGTTGAAGACGTTTCGAGCAAAATAGGCTCGTGGCAAAATCTGACAGCAAAATTTGCTTTTGCATTTTAATGATGTTATTACCTTTCTTGGGATGAAATGATTAAAAAAAATCAAGCTGACTAATGTACTAGGGTTAGACATGCATGCATTCTATAAGTTGTATAAACTTAGGTTGACTGAAGTCAGTAGAACATTTTTCTTTTTAAGTTTTCTTTGTATACTAAACAAGTCTTACTATATATTGAATAAAGCTAGTAGTCAGCTATTTTATTATTAATTTATAACTCATCGATTGTGTTACATTTTATCGCAACACCCAGGTTATTTATTTTAGTCTCTGCATAGAGCTAGCATCTTTTTAAAGATAATCATATCTTCTGTTACTATATAGTAAACAAGTAACATTTGGATAGTAGGATGTGGTTATATGACTACAAGTAATTTCAATGGTGACATCGATAAAGGTGCAATTCACATCAGACGGGTTCTGAAAGATATTGGAATACAAATCTCATAAGGGATACATCGTTATTTACAATTTACGCTCCCTCAGAAATCTTCTTCGTTGAGATCAGTGTACTATTTGTTTCTCTCCTTAGCTGTTTTCTCATCTTTGGACAAGATACCGCAACAAGGTGTATGCGAGCCTGGTCCTAGGGATTCCGAACTCGATTCCATAACACCAAAAGGTGGGGGGTGGGAGGCGGATATTTTGATTTTTGGATTGTACTTCTTGCATTACAAAACCGTGAACGACTTGAAAGCAGTAACAAGACACAGGGGAGAACAGATACTACACTTTAATCACATCTCGAAGTTTGTTTGTTAGATCTGTTCACGGTGGTAGTTTTTAATGTGGGCCAATCCCTGAAATGGTATTGGTATTCCTTTGAATCTTCCTCTTTTAATGGAATGACTAACGTGCTGCCGCAGGGTTGAAATCCCTGGAACCTGGTATCCCTTGAATCTCTTGCTGGAAAATTGTCCTAAAATAGAAACACGACAGAGAACTGAAACTTTGATCCTAGCGTGAATGTCGGACAAATCTATTTACATATCACCCTACAGTAATAAGATGTGAAACAAGGTCGGTTTAATGAGAAGTATCATCACATACAGGCCAAAGACAAAAACTACCCAGTCCTAGCAACCTGTCACGATGGCGTCGTTATCCACAAACCCTTCCACTTTAGGAAGGTACGAATTCGGGACCGCCTTCCATCATAGCTTAGAGAAGATATGAGATACTGCACTTTGGTACCAACCTGAAGATCTGGTAATAGAGATTTAACCTTACGCTCATTCAAGCGAAATGTGATACAAGGTCGAGTTTAAAGTGCATTGGTAGCCTCCACAACCAAAAACTACTGAAACCACCTCGGTATATCCCCTCTTTTGGAGCCGTCAATGACCATAGCCACTCCCTGAAAGAAAGTTAAGTCTTGGAGGAACTGACCCCTTGGAATAAGAGCACACATTCAATTCATACCTCTCGTCAACGAAAAAGCCTATACTAATGAAGTAAGGAGCACTGACAAATTGTCCTATTCTAATCGACGGACATATATTTACATATAGACGGGTGTAACCAAAAGCAGCAATAAGATGAAAGATAGACTCATAAGAAAAGAAAAGAAACACGGTGTCATTTATGCAGATGAGCCATAGCCGCTACATATCAAGGTGGTGAAATCAGCAAGAAACATTTTTGTTCCAGTGAATTATTCTGTTTAGATGTTTACAAAGTGATTACTCAGCACTAACTGATACAGAAATGTGGGAAAAAGATGAGTGATTTTTAAATTATTTTTTCGTTAAACCTTTAGGCGTTCTGTTAACAAAATTACTCAGATTAGAATTTCAGATCAGATAGCAAGAAAACACACCAAAATTAGTCTCTGAAATGAATAAATAATACGAATTAAAAGAGAAAAAAACGTCTATAGCATTAGATTATCTTGGCAAATAATGTATTTACTAATCACAGAAATTGATGTCATTTTTCTGACCAATTTCCATTCAAATTACTCGAATTTTGATAGTGTGCATATGGAAAAATTGTCATTGTAACTTACCGACATCCAAATGTAGTTTGAAGCAAAGTGCTCAATCCAGATATAAAGAAAGTAGTAGAAATTAGCTCACTAATTCCAACGCTGTCACCATTCATACAAAAAGCTGAGTTTGCCACAACAATTGGTAGCATCAGATTGCCACCGAATGCTGTCAAGTAGTGCTGTAAATATTAATATGAAACATCAGTATTTTAGTAGCATTTAAAAATGGTGTTTTTTTCGGACCAATAAGATTGTATAAAATTTTCAGTATATTTAACAAAAAGAAGGAACTATGTCGAGTGTTTCAGAGTTTTCTCAATCTTTTTATCAGAAATTTTAAACAATGTTTAAATACCGAAATATTTTTTATCTTCTCTAATTAAATTAAAATAAAAAATTAAGAATCAAAACAAAACGGTTTTTCCTCTAAAAATAATGGACTTATGAGTTTTATTTTGATTTGGAAGCGCTAAAATTTACAAACCCAGTTAACCACTAATTGGAGGGCCTTTTTCAATAGCAGCTGCCAAGTTTACTTTGCCAGATTTGCTATTGAGACAGAATTAAATGGTAGTGCCATTTGCATAAATGCCTATTTGGGAACTGATGATATCCTGGAGATCATTGATGAAGATCAGAAATAGCGTAGAACTCAGGATAGAGCCTTGATTAAAATATTAAATCACTCTTTAAAATAAGTTAAGCCTGACCCGATACAATTGGAGATAAAGAATATAACGTGACATCTATACGCTTCTGTTTTCTTTGATTTCTGTTTGATTAATGAGTTTTCTCCCTAAAAATAATGAACTAATGACGTTGGACTTTTATTGGTAGCGGTCTTGTCTCGTAAACCATTAACAATAAAATTAATTCTTTCTTGTTTAGACTATAAATATAGCTTTCTGTTAAACCTAGCATCACCCAACAAATAGAGAATTATTCAATAATTCATTAAAAACATGGGACAATGCATATTTATGTAATTTACTCATGAAATTACGTTATTTCCTACGGTGTATTTTCTACCAACATCAGTGATTGTTGTTCAATCTCTGGTCTTTTGAGTGAGATGAGAATAACCCCGTCGATGATATTGAATATCATCTCTAAATCAGACTCTCATAAAAAAAAGTGGTGGTAACGGGATACCACTCGTAGTCCTAAGCAAATTTGTTCCTGAGCTGGCTCCAGTTCTCTTCAAACTATATAACTGTTGTCTCGCTGACTCTTGCTAACCAGCCTGTTGGAAATCCTCATCAGTTGTCCCTGTTTTTAAGAACTCTGGAAAACCTTTTGACCCTGTTGTCCTATCAGCCTCCTACCACTCTTCGGCAAAGTCTTTGAGACATTAATCAATGCCGAAGTGGTTAAGCACCTTACCTCCCATGGACTACTCTCTGACAAACAATATGGTTTCCGCTTTGCCTGATCTACCGCTGACGTGCCTACGGCCATAACCGAATTTGTATACCAAGCTCTTGATAATGACGTTGAGTCTCTAGATATCTCCAAGGCGTTTGATAGGGTTTGGCATGCCGGCCTTCTACATAAGTTTAAGGGATACGGTATTACAGGACAATTATTTGATTTAATTCAATCATTTCTGTTAAAGCGCAAAATGAAGGTCGTCCTAACCGGATCTCCTCCAGTTCTTTTCATACAAAAGCTGGTGTTCCTCAAGGCTTTATCTTGGGTTCTACACTGTTTTTGATCTTCATCAACGATCTTCCTGATGTCATCAGTTCTCAAGTAGGCATCTGCGCAGACGACACTACCATTTACTCCTGTCTCAGTAGTAAATCCGGCATTGTTAACCTGGCCGTTGGCCTCGAAAAGGACCTCCAATCTCTGGTCGACTGGAGCATTAAATGGCTTGTAAATCTTAATGCCTTTAAAACGAAACAGCTCTCATTTACCCACCATAAAGAAACCTCCCTGCCTCCTATCAGCTTAGCTGATGTTCAAATTCACGAGAGCGTCTCTCTTTGGCTTCTTGGTCTCACGTTTTTCACTGACCTGAGGTGGAACAACTACATTGAACCACTATCTATATCTACCGCAAGGAAAGTTGGTTCTTTAAGTCGCGCCAGAAGGTTTTTCTCGTCTGAGTACATCTTTCAAGTCTATAAATCTAACATTCGTCTTTGCATTGAATACTGTTGCCATATATGGCCTGGTTATTCATCTTGAGGTTCTCGACAAAATCTAAAGACGGATATGCAATGTGATAGGTCCTGACCTGGCATCTCGACTGCAGTCACTTTCTCACAGACGTGATATGGTTTCCCTCTATCCTTTCTACAAATATTTTTATGGCAACTGCTCTGACGAGCTACTTTCGCTGGTACTCCAACTGTATGACTTTAAGCGTTTACATTAAGTAAACCCTTTTACTATCGAAACAGTTAAATATAAACGTCTCTTCAATTCCAACAGCTTTTTCTCTCGCACATCCCGACAGAAGAAATCCCTTCCTCTTACTTGCTTCCCTAATAACTATAATATTCAAAAATTAAAATGTAATGTCAATCGACAGCTTCTAATGCCTTGATCCCTGTCCTTCTCTTTATCCTTTCCTTGAACACCCCTTTTTTCTCTTACTTTCCCTCTCAGTAACCCCTTGTGTGATAGTGGCACTACTGCCTTGCTTGGGGTGAAATGCTTTAAAAATACGTTTAATCAATCCTCAAGAATTTCAGTTAATCAGGTCCTCGTAAATGACCTCGGCACTTAAAGTGCGATCTACTAATCAACTTCGATGGCGAGGAGGAAATTAGGATGTATTAATGAATGTTATCAAATTAGGCTATCATGGCTTTAAATTCTATTTTATTGAATTCAAAATTCTCTTTTACTTGAATTTCTTTTGAGATTATAATCATTGAAAGAGGAAAAAAGAGAAGTTGCGAATGAATGATTACGATGCAAGAGAGTAATGCACTTACCTGAAAACCCAACAAAATACACATGTACCAAGAGGGGACATCATTTATTTTGTATATTAATTCCAATTTACTTTCAAAAACATTCATCTCAGGTTTGACTAGAGGGCTGATACTTTCGACATTTTGCCTTTCCGGTTCAGCTGCGAAGGACTTGGTATCCTGAAAGAAACGAAAATAATTCTATAACCGTTGGGGAAATTCCTGCTAAGTCGTGTTGGACATAAATTTTATCTTAAACATAAAAAATGCAAAGAAAATAATTGAAATTAATAAAAATCCAATACTTAAAAAATGTATGTTGACATTGTGATTTAAGAAAGACTACGAAAAAAATATTGAATTTCTAAACACACACACACACAGACACACAGACACACTATATATATATATATATATATATATATATATATATATATATATATATATATATATATATATATAACTCTACTGGTTAAATCGGAGAACTTTTCATATATATATATATATATATATATATATATATATATATATATATATATATATATATATATACAAGTATAAAATTGGTGTCGACGAAATAAGAATCCAATAACCAAAAACGCTATTCTTAAAAGAGTGCTCAATGCAGAGCAATATATTATTTATTCAAAAATTATAACATATGACATCACTACAAAAATAGACATTTTGTTTCAACACTTCTTGTGTCTTCTCAAGTGATGGTGTTGAATGTAGAATAAAAAGTTTTAAAAGGTTCAAATCAACCAAAGATCCCTCACTAGGGGAAACGCTGTTACATAAGTTACAATGACCAATCAAAATAGAAGTATATGATAATTAAAAAAACTTGACAACAAAACTTAGTTATAATTATTAATGCCTTAATGTTAGACTAAAATAGAAATAATTCTGATTAATTTTAAATTTTACTAAAATAAATAATATAAAAATAAAAATTACCAATTTTAAGTTTAACCTATATTAAGTTTAAAATATAGTAAGATTATTTCAAGAAGAAACTGAAGAATATATTCATATATTTTATCATATATATTATGTTTTAATCGAAAAACAAAATTAGAGCAAACGCTAATCTAAGGAGATTCAAGCATCGTGACAACATAGATACATTTGAAGAGATCTGAAACCAGATGATGTGGGCAGGGGAAGAAGTTTAATAATAATAATAATATATACATACATACATAATCATATTATAATATATAAACACGTAGAAATACTTAGATATATAAACACGTAAAAACACGGAAGAAACAGAAAAAAAAGGCAGAATATAGTATTAGACACATACAATGAAAAGCATGCAATCATAAACACATACATTAATAAAGACATAGACATACACATAGACAAACCCACCAAGATTCAAGTCTAAAAGTGTTAATAAACGAATGTAAACCAACTATTAAAATATTACTTAGATGAGCAAAGATATATATATATATAAAAGAGGGTTTAATAGATAAAAGTTAAGAAGGGTAGAATTGAAAAACAAATATTTGGCTATGAACAAAGCGAAGAAAAAAGACAATTAAACATACATACATACATACATACATATATATATATATATATATATATATATATATATATATATATATATATATATATAATTATATATATATGTGTTTAATCTTTTTTTCTTTTTACGACTGACAAAATAAATAAGCACACGCACACACACACACAATGGCCAAATTCAAATGATCAGGCAAAATGCAAGACAGAAAATAAAACCAGCAGATATATATATATATATATATATAAAATATATATATATATATATATATATATATATATATATATATATATATATATATATATATAAAAAAAACACATAACACATTATATAGATATACCCCATATATAATCATATACGCATGAATGCATACACAGACACAAACATATAAAAATATATATAAATAAATACACAAATACGTGCATGCACACACACATATACAGACAGACACACAAACACACACACATATATATACGAATACACATAGACACATAGCAATAAATACAAACATATCACCTTATATTTATATATATATATATATATATATATATATATATATATATATATATATAAACACTATTAACTTCTATTAAGTTACAATAATATCTAGAAAGGGAAATCATATTTCTGTACGTGTTGTTGGAGAAAGATAATATATGTTGATACCACCGAGTTTTAAATG